CGGGAACAAGCCCTCCACATTTACAGAGAGGGGCTGGGCCTTCTACGCAGAACGTCGTACGAGGACGGCCCCCACCCCCTCCAGGCTGCCTGAAGGAGGCTGGCAGCGTTTTATGGTGACACATGGTTGTACACCTCGGAAATAAGACAGGATTCTTCATCTCCCGTGTCAGTGTGTTATCAAAGGCGTGGCCGGGGGTCGGGGGAGACTGCTGTCATCTCCGACATCACCGTCTGGAGTCTCCCGCCCAGCACAGGTTCAATCTGCTGAGTTGTTTGTGCCCTTCCAATAGGAGGCCGGGGGCTATGGAAGTCAAGTTCTATAATTAATGCAGCTGTGGGCTTCCTGTTCTGGGGCAACCTGTAACCAGCTATGTATTGAACGCCAGGCTCTTTGGCAAGAACTGGAGATGCAGCCATTCATAAGGCCACCTCCATAGTCATTTCCAGGCCACACTTTAGTCTCCGTAGATGCGATGCCTCATAAGCACGAGGCAGGCCCATTGCCCCATCCCTCCTCTGCACACATGCCCGGGTCTGCAAACACGGACAGAACACCCTCTGTTGTCTGACCTTGGGTGAGGCCTGCAGACTCAGGAGTGAGCCAGACACCGTCCTTGACATGCTTGGAACTCACGCAGAATTCGACAGGATTCTGTTATCTGGTGGCTGAGTTATCTGCTATTTTATTTATAAAATAAAGCACATGGCTCTACTATGCCCTAGAAGAATCCCCATTTTTTCCTCCATTGAAGACTTACAGCCCCAACTTTCCTCCACAGCATTTAGCTCTCCGGGGATGTCAGAAAATCCTCCCCTTCCCCAGGCATCTTCAGTGCAGGCTCAATGTCACTCCAAAGCAAAGCTACTTCCTACAGCGCTATTAGGAGGGAGGCATTCCTCACCAAACTGTAAAAGGCACCGAGGAACCACAGTCGCAGAAACTTGGATCTCCTACTTATACCTTTTTAAGGCAAATGTGTCCACGGCAAATCATTGCCCCAGGGATTGCTAAATGATCCCTTTGCCTATTCTTCCATGTTTTGATCACTGCGCTCCATTGGCGTTGCTCAAAGTCCGAGTTCCCTGCCCACAGTGTGTAAGTGCCAAGGCTACAGGTGCAGACAAGGCAGCCACAGGTTTGCTCAGTGTGAGACTCTGTGCCTGCAGATTGGCATGCAAGCTCCATGCCCATTCAATTGCTAAAGGCAAAGGGGACCCCTGACCTTGGGGGAAGGCAAAGGGGACCCCATCCTTGGGGGAAAGCAAAGGGGACCCCGTCTTTGGGGGAAGGCAAAGGGGACCCCATCCTTGGGGAAGGGCATAGTGAAATTGCACTTACCAGTTATGAGGGCAGGTCAGAGACCCAACCCCACGACTCGTGGAGACATTTAATGACACTGTCTCCATGGTTATAATGAGGCATGAACCGCCTGTTCTTTGGAAGAAAGATAAGCCCAGGCTGGGGGCGGGGAGCTGGTCTTCCCCGTTAGGTGCATTGGAAGGAGCAACCTTTTGGTTTGCGCAGTTCGGGGCCGGCTGGTGTCTCAGTGCTTATGTGTGAATAACCGACTGCTCATAATGGCCTGTTCTGGCTGCGGCTGAGAGAGCTGGGGGAGCGGGGTGGGGAGGTCCCTCAGGGGAGTCCATTTAGACAGGAGATGGCAGCTTTAATCTAATTGCAGGGGATTACCTTGCTCATGAAAATGTGGACTCCACTACACAGATCTTTGCAGAGACCTGGAGTACTGACTGGATTAATATTCCTAAGATGCTTTCCTCCCAACAGCCTCTGTCTCCTTCAGATCGTATCTCTTCCAAGAGTTGGGAGGATGCGGTGGTGGAGGGACGTGGCTTTCGAACGTCTCAGAGGGGACAGGGACGTGGGTAGCTTCCCCTGCAGACGGCTGCTGCGGGCTGAAGGAGAGGGACGTGGACAGGGAGGAACTGAGACATGCCCCTCCCATCCAGGGGCGCTGCCCTCCTCTGGGCCTGGGCCCCAGGGCTGCCTGGCTCAGCTGTGAATGGACATTAGTGCGTGTGCCCAGTGATACAGGGATGTCAGCCCAGCCCCGACTCTGCCCAGTTCGCTGCCCTGTGTCCTGTGTGGCTGTGGCTGTGGCCAGAGGCTGTCCCGGCTAAAGGCTGCCCTTACTGACCGCTCCTGCCTGCCACGTCCCACTCGTCTCCACGGATCACCACATGCCCGTCACAAGTGCCCACTGCAGTGGTGATTGCTGCTCTTTATAGAGAAGTGGACACCGGGACTCAGAGCTGAGCCACTTCCCCAACTTCTTGGCCAGGGCGGGGCAGTGTCAGGACTCGAACCCAGGTCAGCCTGGCTCCCTGACCAGTGCTCCTGATTAATCTTCTACCTCCTCTTATTCCCGGATGCTTGGATTTGGTGCTCAAACAAGGGCCTGCATGAGAACTAGAGGGGGAAGCTTTTAAAAAAACACCAGGACCTGGGACTACTCCAGACAATCACAGAATTCCCAGAGATGAGGCCTAGGCACTGCTGAGCAAAAAAAATCTGTTGCTGTGGCCTGGCTGGTGTGGCTCAGTGATTGAGCACCGACCTATGAACCAGAAGGTTATGGTTCGATTACTGGTCAGGGCACATGCCTGGGTTGCATGCTCAATCCCCAGTGTGGGGCATGCAGGAGGCAGCCAATCAATGATTCTCATCATTGATGTTTCTCCCTTCCTCTCTGAAATCAATAAAAAAACAAAAAACAAACCAACAAAACAAAACTCTGCCGGCAAGTCCCATGTACCCACCAGAGCGCCTCTTGTCTCGCCCAGCGGTGGGAGGTGGGGCTTGGGTTTGAGTTGTCCACCATCCATGGGTGGTGGTGCTAACCTGTGGCACTTGGGGGCCCCAAGTCCAGGAGAGGGGGTTCAAGTGATCCCCAAAGCCCGGAGAAAGCTGCCTGCCGAGCCCTGAGGCGGCCCCTGCTCTGGCGCGTGGCCCTGGGCCGGCCGCAGGAGCACTCTGAGACTGAGCCTTCCCATCGGGACAGCGGAGGTCGTCCCCTGGCCCACAGAGTTCCAAGGCCAAGGTGATTAACTGGTGCCTGAAGGCTGGCCCTGAAGGTCATGTTAACTTACACTTGCAGGCGTGAACGTGGTTTTGAATTAGGTACCAAGTTTTAAGCATCAGGAGAGTCCGTATAGAAATCTGCAGTGCCAGCTTCCCCTCGGCCTGAACATTGTGGTGCTGGTGGGCACGGCCACCTGAGGCTGAGCCTCAGCTGCCTCCCTGGTGGGGTGTGGGGGTCCCAGCTGCCCCTGCCCACCAGCCTTACGGTCTCACACCAGCCTGGACTGACCCCAGGGCCAGGTGAGTTGGTGACCTCCCACTGAGCTTAAATTAGAAAATACATTTTTCAAAATGGACGGAAATTCTTATTTGTATTTTACTATCGCTGTTATTCTCCCTCGTCTGGCCGTCCCAGCTCCAGCGTCTCCCTGGGATGCTCACTCCCAGTCATGCATGGAGACGTTCTGGGGGTGCCCTTCAAGCTTTTGTGAAGGGAGAACCCCCTTTAAATATGCCCCCGACTCCTCCAGACTCAGCTGCTGCACACCGACCGCCAGTTTCCACCAGAAAACAACAGGGAGTGGTTTCCCTGGTAACCCCCACGTTGCCGCTTCAGGTTGGCACTCTGTGCCCTTGGAAACCTGAGCTGCCAGGGGCTGGCAGGGGAGGCAGCGTGTGCAGAGGCTGAGATGGGACCTGGGCTCCAGGAGGCAGGGCCCAGCCCTCCTCCTGGCCGCTTGCTCTCTGCACAGGACTTACAACCTCCCCGCCGCCCCCCTGAGGCCTCTGCCCACCAGCCCCAGACTGTGACAGAACCACCCACACGCTAGGGCAAGAGGGTGCCAGGGGCGCGTGGCCATGGGAGAAATGCCGCCAACTTTGAGAAACCCCTGTCCCGTTTCTGGGGCTGAAATCATTCCAAACCGGGTGTATTCTAAAGGGTACATTATATTTTGAAGGCATCAAAGGAATAATTCAGATTCTCAGCTTTGAACCAAATCCTGGAAATCTTGGTCAAGGGCACTCAGACCAAGTGGTGCATTAGAGAGAGAGATGAGAGAGAGAGAGAGAGAGAGAGAGAGAGAGAGAGAGAGAGAGAGAGAGATTGATTGAGGGGGTGGGGAGAGAAAACAAGAATGGAAAGGAAAAGGAGGGGAGGCACCCTTTTCAGTGTTTTCTGCGGGTAATGAGCAGAGAAGAAACTTCAGTGTCAGCCTGCTTTCGTGTCTCCGGGGCGACGGAGAGACGCGGGTTCCAGGCTCAGCCCGCACTGTCCTCCTTGGTCATCCCTCTCTGTGGTTCAGCATTGTCAGGGAAAAGCTCCGTCCTTTCTGCTGGGATTTCAGTGCAAGGACCCGGCTTAGTGCCTCAAACCCGAGAATCTTTCTCTTTTAAGAACATACATATCTTTATTGATTTCAGAGAGGAAGGGAGAGGGAGAGAGAGAGAGAGAGAGAGAGAGAGAGAGAAAAAGCAATGATGAGAGGGAATCATGGATCAGCTGCCTCTTGCACGCCCCCTACCGGGGATCAAGCCTGTAACCTGGGCATGGGCCCTGACCTGGAATCGAACCATGACCTCCTGGTTCATAGGTCGACGCTCAACCACTGAGCCCCACTGGCCGGGCTTGAGAATCTCTCCATCTAATGACACCCCCTCTGACGGACGGTCTCTGAACTCAGACCGCTGTTCACGCACGGCAGGCCCTGACTTAGAAAGAAACCGAGGTTCGCACCACATAACTCCACATCCACGGCCATCGCGGCGCTTTGTGGTTTGTGACCCGCCAGCCAGCAGACGTTGGCTGAGCGCCTTGGTACCAGGCACGGTGCCCACGCAGACTGCGCGGAGCTTAGCATCTTTGCGGAACATCAGGTTTGTGCTGAGCCCAGCGGCATCGATCGAGATGCCCCCAATCCTCTACAGGGGTTTGATTTTATTCCTCCCGGTCCAGAGAGCTGTGCACAGTTTTACAAGAACGGCCGTGGGCAATCGCTCCTCATCAGTGGCCTCCGGTAATGACAAGTGTGGGCGGGACCAGCGAGTGAGGCCCACGTGGGTTTGCTGAACACCGACTTGGTGATGGGTCTGACGTCACCAATTATCAAGGGGCAGAAGAATAATGGGCGGATGGAGCCAAGACCCACGGGGCCTTCTGTGTTTATGTTCCTAATATATTTCGTGTAAATGGACATTCAGATGAATGTTCACCTATTTGCATTTCAGTCAGTAACCAGCACAGTTGCTGAATGAAGCGATATTTCCAGTGGGCAGAGAAGAGGGAGCGAAGCAGAATGATGGGGAGGGGAGGCTCGGGAAGGACGGAGGTGAGGAGGAGAGGATGGCGCTGGTCAGAGGCGCTGCTGGAGAGACGAGGCAGCATCCTGATGGAGCGGGGCTGGGAGAGGTGGGTTCAAGAGAATCGGCGAGGGAAGGGCCACCGGCCCTTGGCTTGGGGGCTGCCCAGCTGGGAATTTCAGTCTGAATCTGAGGAGGGGGGTGTCTGGTGAGTTGGGGCGAGAGAGTGTGTGAGCTGGCATTAGGGCAGGACTCTAAGCCCTCACAAGGCCCACAGGGCCCGTCAGAGTGAGGTACCACCATCCATCCCCTCAGCCTAGACACGGGCTTCTCCCAGCAAACCTATTCTGCACCTGGGACATACAGTGACCATATCGCCATCTTGGCTAAGGTTTGTTTAGAAATCAGCATGTGACAAGCACCACATGGTAATGATCTCATTTCATGCCAACACCCCCAGGAGGGAGTCCTGGTCATGATGGCCTCACTAGAGGAAGCTGACCAGCTGGGTGGTGGGTCAGAGGTGATGGCCACGGGGCACAGGGACAGCAGGAGGAAAGCCACTGTGACAGGATAAGGACAGGGGAGTCTAGATCCAGAGACATGGGAGCTGCCGGAGGCTACAGGGCTTGTACGTGGTGAGGCCAGAGGCCAGCAGTCCTGGTCCCCCACAACCTGCCACCTTCATTCTGCTTCTTTCCCAAGCTGTGCTATCACATGGGATGGAGCATCAGTCTCTCCCTATCTCCTGAACGTTCACTCTCCATCAGCCTCCGTCAACCTCATCCATCAAGGCCCAGCTCAAGCTGTGCGTCTCTCTGTGGCCCTCTCCGGCTCAGCCCATTCACCCAGGCTCCCCTCGCTTGGCGCAGGGAAAACAGTGAATGTGGACAAGCGGCAGCCACGCTCCCTCCGCCAGCATCGCGGGAAACAAGGAGACCTCATCTCAGCCCATGGCCCTGGGCTGTGTTCTCTGGAGGGTAACACCCCGTCCCTGGGTTTCGATAACAGATCTACCTCTACCCAGGATTACATTTCTTTTGTTATCTTACCCAAAATGAGCTCAAGGGAACGCAGCCTATTCATGTTTTGGCTGCTGCTAATGAACTTATTCTAAAAAAAAGAAAAAAAAAAAAGAAAAAAGAAAGAAAAAAAAAAGCCCACAATTTCCCCAGCC